ATTTGAAGCTACAGATAAATCACTAGGTATTGCCCTTTGGAAACTCTATCAAAGGTCAGTTTATTTCTTTTGTTTTCTCCTGAAAACGAAAGGCTCATTTTCATGTACTTTGTTTCTGAATTTATCTGAAAATGATAGCAGTTCATGCAGTTGAGCAATAGTGCCCAATAGGCATGAGCAGTGTCAGAAAACCAGCTCCAAATAAGACTAAAATCTAATATTAACAAGAAAAGCTGGAGGTGTCTCCTGTAGCACTTTGAAATGCTGTGTATCTCTTCCCCATAAAAGATAATTCATTGTATTTAGACAAGCTCAATATTTGCATTATAATTTTCCATATTCCTTTAAGACTAAAGGCAGTCATAAACATGATACGGACACTTGTATGGCCTACAATATGGCAATCTATTTAACTTAAATATATTTGCATCCCAAAGTGCCTAGGAAGACTGTATACAATATAGCAAGCATTATTTAAATGGCTAGTAGTGCTTTCAAGAAACCAAGAGAAGTCCCAAGGGCTAAATATAGAATAGAAAGTAAAAACAAGAGCATTAAGAAGTTAAGAGCTCCTGGAGTCCTAGGGTTGGCGAGCCATTCTCAGGCCAGATAGATACAAAAGACAAAAGGCAGAGCAAGGAGAAGGGATGGAATAAAAAACATGGTGTAGATCAAGAATCTTAAAAAAAATATATCATCAAGAGTTGGTCAGAATAGGGAAAATAAAACTAAAAATAAATATAATATTTTCTGACTCAATCTAAACTCTCCTGCAGCTAAAAGGGAGGTGCTAGGGGATAGGTATCCCTCCTGAGAATTTGTGGAACAAAGAACGGTACCTGTGTATGTTCATGACGGTGCGACCCTCATATTAGATAAGTATCCTTATAAGCAAAGGAAGAGAGACTACTACAATTATCTCTCTTCACCATGCAAGGACATAGCAAGGAGGCCACACAAAAATGAAGAGGAGGATCCTTCCAGAGCATGACCATGCTGGCACACTAATCTCAGACATCCAGCCTCCAGAACAGTGAGAAAATAAATCTTTGCTATTTAAAGTCATCCAGTCTACGGTATTTTGTTATGGCAGCTCCAGCTTACTAATACAGACTTTGATGCAGAGAAGCGGGGTATTATTGTAACAAATACCTAACTACATAAAAGTGACTTCAGAACAGGGTAATAGGTAGAGGCTGGAAGAGTTTTGAGGGGCATGTGACAAATATAAATGTTAAGGAGTTTCTGGTGATGTCAGACAGAAATGAGGAAGGTGGTTTTAGAAACTGGAGAAAAGAGGATTCTTGTTATAAAGAGGCAAGAACTTGGCTGAATTGTGTTTTGGTGTATTGTAGAAGTAAGGACTTGCAAGAAATGAAATTTGACATTTAAGCAAAGTATTCATGAGGCAGCTTGGGTTCTCCAAACTGTTTATAGTGCAATGTGAAAGGAGAGAGATATATTGAAAAATAAATTATTAAGCAAATTGGAACTAGACTTGGAGAAGAATGAATGTGCGAGTGAATCCTGCACCAGCAACTGAGGTATTCAGGTTCTCTTATTGGGACTGACTAGGTGTTCGCATGACCCATGGAGAGCAAGGAGAAGCAGGGTGTGTGATGGCCCACCTGAGAGTCACACAGGGAAAGGGGACTCCCACCCCCAGCCAAGAGAGACGGTGAATTATTGTGCTACCCCACCCAGGAAACCATGCTTTCCACAGATCTTTGCAACCCATGAATCAAGAGATCCCCCTAATGCGCCCATGTTACCAGCAGCTTGGGTACCAAGCACAGCGTTATTCAGATTCTCAGCAGCCACTGGGCTGGAGACTAGGTGCCTAAGACTACCAAGTTCCCAGGGGGAGGGGCAGCCGCCATCACTGCAGCTGCCTCCTGCCTGAGATGACTGAGCTCTTTTGTGAAGGAGTGGCTACCATCACCGTAACTGCCCACAGCCTAAGATGACTCAGCTCCGGTAGGGAGGGGTAGAAAACATCAAGCAGCTCCAGTCTGTCGTTTGCTGGAGCTGGGGAAACAGGATGGTGTGGACCCAGGAGGAGTTCCCCACAATGCAGCACAGTGGCTGTGGCAGATCATGGCCAGATTGCTTCTTCAGAGGGGTCACTGACCCATCCCTCCTCACTGGGTGGGGCCTCCCTGCGGGAATTTCAGCCACTCCAGCCAACTCTGATCTCCCTGGGACAGAGCACCTGAGAGGGGCAGTCACAGTCTCTGTAAATCAGTGAACCTAGTATTTCCTCCTGCTGACTCTGAGGAATCTGGGCAGTCCAGACGAGTGGGATTTCCCCCCTGGGCAGTGCACCTCCTCTGCCAAGGGGAAGACAGATTTGTTAAGCAGGTCCCTGATCCTATGCCTCCTGACTAGGTGAACTTCCCCCACCCCCAACTCCACAACGGGAATCACCACACATCTTTTATAGGAGAGTTCCCACTGGCATCTAGTTAGTACCCCTCTGAGATGGAGCTTCCAGAGGAAGGAGAAGGCCACCATCTTTGCTTTTTCTGCAGCTGCCACTGGTGACACCTTCAGATGCAGGAGGGATCCAAGCAAATAGGGTCTGGAATGGACCTCCAGCAAACTGCAGCAGCCCTGCAGAAGAGGGTCCTGGCTGTTAAAAGAAAAACGAATGGAAAGAAACAACAACAGCATCAACAAAAATGTCCCCACAAAAACCACATCCGAAGGTCAGGTGCCTCAAATATTGACACTAGATAAACTCATGAAGATGAGAAATAGTCAAGGAAAAAAACACTGAAAACTCAAAAAGCTACACTGCCTCTTCTCCAAATGATTGCAACACCTCTCTAGCAAGGGCACAGAACTAGGCAGAGGGTGAGATGGATGAATTGACAGAAGTAAGCTTCAGAAGGTGGGTAGTAATGAACTTTGCTGAGCTAAAGGACCATGTTCTAACCCAACATAAATTATTACAGGAACTGCTAACTAGAATAACCAATTTAGAGAGAAACATAAATGAGTGGATAGAGCGAACTTAACAATGCAACCACAAGTATCAATAGCTGAATAGACGAAGCAGAAGAAACAGTTTCAGAGCTTGAGGACTGTCTTGCTGAAATAAGACAGGCAGACAAGATTTGAGAAAAAAGAATGAAAATGAATAAACAGAACCTCTGAGAAGTGTGGGATTATGTAAAAAGATGAAACCTATAACTGACTGGAATACCTGAGAGATGGGGAGAATCTCTCAGGTACTCCAAGTTGGAAAGCACACTTCAGAATATCATCCAGCAGAACTTCTCCAACCTAGCAAGACAGGCCAATATTCAAATCCAGGAAATCCAGAGAACCTCTGTGAGATACTCAATGAGAAAAGATCAACACCAAGACACATATTCATCAGATTCTCCAAAGTCAAAATGAAGAAAAATGTGTTACGGGCAGCCAGAGAGAAAGACCAGGACACCTCCAAAGGGAAGCCCATCAGACTAACAGCAGATCTCTCAGGAGAAACTCTACAAGCTGGAAGAGATTGGGGCCAATATTCAACATACTTAAAGAAAAGAATTTTCAACCCAGAATGTCATAACTGGAGAAATTAAGCTTCATAAATGAAGAAAAAAGAAAATATTTTTCAGACAAGTAAATGGTAAGGGCATTTGTCACCACTAGGCCTGGCTTGTAAGAGATCCTGAAGGACCTGGAGTTTTAAAATAGTCTCAGCCTAGGTAGGCTGCAAAAAATAAGAAAACTTATTCTGAAAAGGACAACTATTTGATAAAAAAAATATAGGTATAAGTATGGATTTAATCAGTCACCTCAGTGGAAGCCAAAAATAGAACTGGGATTATACCAACAAAAATGCTGTAATTTTTGACCTGAAAGGACAGAGAAAATGAGGCAGAATGAAGCAGTCTGTGGAACTTCTTGGATTCTATAAGGAAATACCATGGAGCTATTTGGCCACATACATATGATACTCTTTAAGAAAAGGAAAGAATGACTCCAAAGACAAGTCAGAGATTATCAGTCCTGGAGAAAAGGAGCTGAAACTGGAGCTGGCTCTTCAGTTTCAATGGGCTAGGATTACACTATGGTGAGGTGTTGAAGGCTGCCTTCACAGAAAGCAGGGGTGGAGCCCTTGAAGAGAGCTGCCTAGCTGAGCTGTGAAGATGATGTAAGTGTGACATTGCAACCCCAGTCGGCCTGGAGGGGAGAACATTGAACCAGAGAGAATTATTCATGATCCTTAACATCGAATGGTATTTATCTTGCTAGATTTTGGACTTGCTAGGAACCTGACACACTTTTCTTTCTTCCAAATTTTTCTGTTTGGAATGGGGATGCTTATCTATTCCTTTCCTATCACTGTATTTTGGAAACATCAGGTTTCACAGGTTTGCTGCTAGAGAGATATTTTGCCTCCATATTAGTTATGTCTTGGGTCTTATCCATATTTTATTCAGATAATATTGAGATGAGACTCTGAACGTTAGATTTAGGCTAGAAAGTTAAGACTTTTGGGGCTATTGGGGTAAAATTAATGTATTTTGCATGAGAGAAGGGTGTAAATTTGGGGTGATCAGAAGCAGAGCGTTATAAATGGAATGTTTGTCACTAGCAAAATCATATATTAAAGCTCTAACCTGAAATGTGATCGTGTTTGGAGGTGCAGCTTTGCAGAGAAAATTAGTTTTAAAGGAAGTTGTGAGGGTGGGACCCAAATAATGAGATTGGAGTTATTATAAGAAGAGGAAGAGAGGCCAGAGTTCTCTTTTAACCATGTGAGAACACAGCAATAAATGAGCTTTCTGCAAGCCAGGTAGAGGACTCTCATCAAAACTCAATCTGCTGGCACCATAATCTTTGATGTTTTAGCCACCAGAACTGTGACAAATAATTTTCTGTTTCTTGAAAGATACCGTAAAAGATAACAAAAGATAGTATTTTCATGATTCCCAGGTTAAAGAGCTAGTTTTCATTTCTATTTTTACTTTTATTTTTTATTCTTGTTTTAGAGACATGGTCTTGCACTGTTTCCCAGGCTGAAGTGCAGTGGTATGATCATGTCACACTGCAGCCTTGAAATCCTGAACTCAAGCGATCCTCCTACCTCAGGCTTGTAAGTAGCTAAGACTTTTGGCACACCACCAGGCGTGGCTAATTCTGTTTGTTTGTTTTAGAGACAGGGTCTCTATGTTGCCCAGTGTGTCAAACTCCTGGTCTCAAGTGATCTTTCTGCCTCAGCATCCCAAGTGCTGGGATTGGAGGTATGAGCCATTGGGCCTAGTCTGAGGAACTGTTCTTAGGGCACAGAAAGCAATAATCATAAGGACAAAAGATTAATAAAGTCTACTATATTCAAAGGAAGAAATGCTATTCATCAAAAGACATTATTAAGAGAGTTAAAAGCAATGTCACAAACTGTCAGAAGATATTTATAATATATTTAACTAAAAAAGACTCATATTTAGAATAGTCCTTTAAATTCACACAAAAAAGAGAGTCCAAAAAAAGGGTATGAGCCTTGAATATGTATTGCAAAAGAAAGGATTATTGAGTGATCTATAAATGTATGAAAAGTTGTTTGGGCTCATTAATAGTCAGGGAAATAAAATATAGAACTACAGTGAGAGAGAGTTCATGACATCTAGATGCAAAAGAAAAATACATAGTGCCTGACTATACTGAGGATGTGGAGGTACTAAAACTGCTGTGGTAGTGCAGACAAGTCCAAGTACTTTAGAAAATATTTTGGCATTAATTTAAAAAGTCAATGCTTTTTTGATAATGTATTAATTATGCTCCTAAGTATATTCATATACATGTACACCAAGTAACATGAACATATATTAAGAATATCCATAGCACCATTATTCATATTTTCCAAAAATGTAAACCACTCAATGTCCATTAATAGTATATAAGCTATGAGATGTACATTCAATGAAATAGACACAAAATCCAAATAAATGAATATCTGCATAAATTAGCATGAATAAATCTCAAAAATAGAATTTGAATAAATAAAACTATAAAAGAACATACATTTCTTTAAATACTATTTAATAACCAAGCAAAACTAAAGTGTATAGTGTTGTGAGTTATATATAAAACTGTAAAACAATAAAAATAAAAGGAAGCAATTACTATACAAAGTAGTAGCTACTCTTCCAAGGAAAAAATGCATAGTTATTAAGAGCAAGTAGTATTGTATTTCTTGATAAGCAAAAGTTGTATCAGGGTATACTTTAAGATATATTCATTTGTATATCTTTCTTATTTGAAATTTTATGTTATTTGTTACATTTCCTAATGAGAAGGTTAAATTTAAAAGTTAGTGTGGAAAAAGTGTCTACTTAAAACCTTTCAGCTATATTCTATATGGTCACGGGAAATTATTTACTGGCTGGCAGGGTATTCAATGAGGTTCTCTATAATTCCGTTTCAGCACAAGTATTGCTTTTCCACACCACTTGCCAACACTCCGAAGACATACAAAACTAGGATGAATTTCTACCCACGGCAAAGGAATGGAGAAAACCAGCCTGTGCTGCTTTCACCCTCTATTATAGAATTATAGACTGGAGAATGGGCAGAAAGGCAGAGAAATAAACAGGGATCAGATTATAAAAGTTTCCTTATTTCTCTAGGTGTTCAAGGACAAATGTTATGGTCAATGTGCTCACATTTTAACCTTGGAATCTACCAAATAATACTGAATAAAAAAATGAAAAAATGCACTTGAACTTTAACAGTAATGCTTTTTTTTTTTTAACCTCAATGAGTGCCTTGCAGAGGATAAAATAAAACAATAGATATAAAATTATGAACCTAGAATATGCATGGGGTAGAGTGCACTGAATGCATATTAATTTTTTATTTATTATTAACTTAAAGGCTTTGAAAATGTTTATTTCAAACATTTTGAAAATGTTTATTCATATTACAATTTTAGCTTTAGTAAAATGTGAAGGAACTGTCTTAGTTTGCTAGGGGTTCCACAACTACATACCACAGATGAATTACTTAAACAATAAAAATATATATTCTCATGTTTGGAAACTGGAAGTCCAAACTCAAGGTTCCGGCAGGGCAAGTTATTCCTAGGTCTCTCTCCTTAGCTTGCAGAGAACTACCTTCTCACTATTTCCTCACATACCATTTTTTCTACATGTGAGCATACCAGGTTTGTTTTCCTCTTCTTATAAGAATACCAGTCATATAGTATTACGGCCTTATCTTTATGACTTTATTGAACTTCAGTTGCCTCTTTAAAGGCTGTATCTCCACATACAGTCGCATCAGGGGTTAAGGATTTAACATGTAAAATCTGGGAGTGTAGGTTCACTCCATAGTAGGGACTAAATTAAAGTTTTCCTCTAGCTCCAATTTTCTTTCCTTTTCTCTTCTTTTTTTTTGAGATGGAGTCTTGTTCTGTCAACAAGGCTGGAGTACAGTGGCATAATCTCAGCTCACTGCAACCTCTGTCTCCTGGGTTCAAGAGAGTCTCCTGTCTCAGCCTCCCGAGTTGCTGGGACTACAGGCGTGTGCCACCACACCTGGCTAAGTTTTGTATTTTTAGTAAAGACAGGGTTTCACCATATTGGCCAGGCTAGTCTCAAACTCCTGACCTCATGATCTGCCTGCCTCAGCCTCCCAAAGTGCTGGGATTACAGGCATGAGCCACCATGCCCCACCTCTAACTCCAATTGTCAAGAAATCATAAAATGTGGAAAATCATAAATTCACTTGGCCTTATGTAGGTATTGTGGAGAAACATATTACTTTCCCCTGCATAAAATTTTCCCCAAGTTGTACTTGATATTACAGACTCACATGCTATTCACTTGGTATCTAAAATCTCTGGCTTTCATTGCCATTATTACTGGGCAATAGAAACAGAGGAGGAAAAATTGTAAAGAATATATAGGGCAAGGGATGGATGAATTAGTCTGAAGCCACTTCCTGGCAAGAAACAATCTCAAAAACACATAAGCACAGCTTAACTGTATACAGACACATGGCAAATCTTCTGCATTTTCTTTCCATTCTAGTCCACTAGGCAGTCTAATGAGGTTGTTGCTTATGATCTGCAATTGGTGGTAAACTCAAATAAACCTTTCTAAACTCAAGTTTCTTCTACAAAATGGAAATAATTACATCTAACCTGCAGAAAAGGTTGTGAAGATTGAAGGCAATGATGTACATAAAGAGCGAGGCATATTACAGGCATGTGGAGGGTGTTAATAATTTTATCTTGTTGAAGTATTATTAAAATCCATGTTTAGTTTTTATTAAAGAATTGGGTTCTTTTATTAGGTAGCTGGAAACAAACTGTCTTATAATTCTGATATGTTTGCAGTGTTACCTGTCCTAGAAACAGTGATTACTTGTCATAAACAACTTCATAGCATAGCTACTTTCCTTAAGCATCTGATGCTATTTCTCACCATCACCTACTGGAGAACATCGTTTCAGCTACTGAGAAAGCATCTTATGGGATGAGACACGTAAAATGCTAATTGTTCCTATCTCTGATGTTACTTGGATTTTAGGTTAATGTACTATTATTTTCATTCTCTAAATGAAGATAAGGATCAAAATAGCTTTATACGTTTTGAATTCATTTCACGATGTGACAGAGGTTGACCTCTTGCCTTCTCAAGTTAAGGAAATCTACTAAACTATAAACCGAGCATACTATGCTAGCTATGCAATGAAGTTTCTCAATTATGCTAAAAGAAAGAAAACAAAAGCAGTAAATATCTGGAACTTAAAATACAGAGAGGCCTGAAGAAGGGACCAAAGTGTATATATGAAGAGATAATCCATGACTGCTGTAAATAATTTCCCTTTCGGGGGTTGATAGCTCAACTCAACTTAATTTGGGAGATACTGTGAAAGATACTGCTTAATGGGACACGAGTTATTGCTGAACAGAATAATGTTTAACCTTTATCACATATGAATGACTATTTCACAATGATTGTAGTTTATATGGCTCATTCTAGTTCACATGTAACGATATGTTTATCGTTATCCTGCTGTGCTGATTAGATTTTTAAAAGAGTGTTTAAATGAAAGGCCAACTAAATGGGAGTCTAGCTCATATCCCTATTATTAAAGAAGAAATGACAGATTTTTTATGACTTAGTTAAACCCTAGATATTCTCACCTTTATTTAAAATGAATAAAAAGCTGACATTGTTCCTAGCATTTATGTATAACATTAAGATAGTGAGGTAATTTATATAGTGTAGCACTTAAGAAGTAAACTCAGAAGTTAGAAAGCCTTGATTTCAAGCCATACTCAGCCACTTTGGGGCTACTGGATCTTGTGGAATATTCTTAGCCAATCTCTGACTCAATGTTTTTATCAATCAAATGGAGTTAATAACATTGCTGACCTCAAAGAGTTTTTATCAGTGTTGAGCAACAAAAACATCAGCAAAGCACAAAGAAGTTCTTGGTTCATAGTAAATTTTGATAAGCTTTTTTTATATTATATATATTGATTCTTAAATACTGGCATATTTCTAAATAAATTAATATGTTTTCTTAATAAAATGTAATTTACTTTTGAAAAATTCAAACTCAGTATTTAAAATACTTTACACAGTATTTGCTTTAACAAACTGCTTTTGTATTTCTGCCTTGTTTGTCTACTGTTCACACGATTTGTGATTTTCAAAAAAAAAAAAAAATTACCTGCAACTAGGTATGAAAGGACTGAGCAACAGATGAGTTTATTTGCTTGGTCACTTTAACCACTAAAATTAGTAATTGTCTGACTCAGCCACAATAAACAGTGAGAGTTGTTAAGATAGTAAAAATCTTTGCTTAACTGTCTGTTTTCTAAATGAATTACATGTATTATAAATAAACCCTTGATTTGTCACACATAGTTAGGCATGTGTGGGGCAAGAGAGGGCTTTTCCTAACCCACTAGGAATGTTGGATGATGGTTCGACAATTATCATATCGCCTCTCTAAAAGTGATAAATTGTCAGCCAGATCCAGGAAGAAGCCAATTTCCGATGGCCACGCCTGTTGCACTAAAGTTTTAATTGAATGCAGACACCAGGAAAAAGCATCTTTCCAGGCATGCGCATTAAGAGTCAAAATGGCGGAATATAACCTTCTCGGAGCGTACCACCAGAAAGGAGAAGAAAGCCTCAGATGGACACTCTACAACTTCCTAAACAAACTGTGTGTGCTTACTTCCCAAGAGAAAGGAGAGCACTGCACGTGCAGGCAGCCTATCCTGCGGGAAAAATGATGGAAAAGGGGTGCAAGATGCCAGGAGTGGACCAGCCTATAAAGTTCTGGGATGTATATCTTATGGATTATGTGTAATATGTGTATATATGTATATGTGTGTGTATGTGTATGTGTGTGTATATATATATATATATTCAGAGAGAGAGGGAGAAAGAGAGAGAGAGAGAGACTCACTCTATCACCCTGTCTGGAGTGCAGTGGCATGATCGCAGCTCACTGCAGCTCTAATCTCTATGTCTCAAGTGATCCTCCCACCTCAGCTTCCCAAATAGCTAACCCTACAGGCACAAATCACCATGCCAGCTAATTTTTTTTCTTTTCTTTCTTTTTTTTTTTTTTTTTTTTTTTTTGGTTTTTTTTTGTGTGTGTGTGGAGACAAGGTCTCCCTATGTTGCCTAGGCTGGCCTCAAACTCCTGGGCTCAAGTGATCCTCCTTCCTTGGCCTCTGAATGTGTTGGGATTACAGACATGATCCACAGCACCTGGCCTACAATATTGTAAGCTGCACCAGATTCAGAAATTAACGGAATGCAATTGTATCATCAGGTTCTAGTTTGAGGAAATGACTTTTAGTACTTATATCTCAGGGGTGCTCTATGGAGACCCATACTTTCAATCTGCTAAAATAATGGTTTTTTTTTCAGCATTTAGGCTTTTTCATTTGAAAAAGAAATTTCATATTGAAAAAAAATTTTACTTGCCTGAGAAAGGATGTGGAGAAAAAGGAATCTTGTACACTGTTGATGATACTGTAAATTAGTACACTTACTTTGGAAAACAGTATGGAGCTTCTTCAGAAAATAAAAACTAGAATTATCATATGATCCAACAATGCTGCTTCTGGGTCTTTTCCAAAGGAATTAAAATTATTATGTTGAAAAGATGCCTATACTCCTGTGTTTATTACAGCATTATTCACAATAGCTGAGATATGGAAACAACTGAAGAACTTGACAGATGATTTACAAAATGTAGTCCATTACAAAATAGACAATGGAATGATATTCAGCCACTAAAAAGTAGGAGATTCTGTAATTTGTGACAACATGGATGGACTTAGAGGATATTAAAGTAAGTGAAATAAGTAACAAACATAAAGACAAATACCACATGATGTCACTTACATGTGAAATCTAAAAATATCTAACTCATAGATTTAGAGAGTAGAATGATAGTTACTCACAATTTAGAGGTTGTGGGGAGGGTTGTATGTAAAGAGAGTAAATAGGGAAATGGAAGACTTCGGTCAAAGGATACAAAGTTTCAGTTATATGGGGGAATAGGTCTGGTGATCTATTGTATAGCCTAGTGACTATAGTTAGTAATGATTATATTAACTAAGATATGATTGATTATTGAGACATAACAGTATTTTTTTTACTGACAAATAATCATTTTCAGCTAACCTAACAGTTATAAGGTCATATCTTATTGTGGTTTTCAATGACATT